TCCCTATCCCTTCTTCTCCTAATGTGTGTGCCCATGCCCTCTGACATAATAAAAAAGAAAGAAAAAAATAGAAAAAAGAAATAATCTGTCTTTTTCTGAGATCTGGTCTTTTCTCTTCAGACCAGTCTCTAATGCCCACATCGCAGGGCTTGACTCCTTTTTCCTGATGTTGTTAGTCTGCTGGTCTTGCTCTTAAATTAACTGGTAACCAAATGGGCTGTATTTTGTATTTATCTTTGTAAGTGTGTCATGGCCCTAGAACTATGAAAATACCACGCCTTTTCTATCATTTGAATTCTTCATAGTACTTAGTTTAGACCCTACACTTGATGAATGTTAATAGCTGGATGAGGAATGTGACCATGACGCCAAGTTGCAGGGCCATAAAATTATAACCAAAAAAATTAAGCTCTTTAAACTAAAATGAGTGCTTAAGACAACAACATAATTTTTATATTCAAACAAATAGCACATTTGATGTTAGTTATATATTTGATAATGTAGTACTTTATTTTAGAGTGTTTCTGAAAGTTCGTTTGATCATTTTCCTCTTTTTCAGTCTACTTTTATCATTCTCCTCGTTATGCTATTTTTCTTTCTCTTTTCAGCTTTTCTTACTCTTATAGTTGATATGCATTTTGCATTATGTTGTTCTCTGTATTAGATCATTCTAAATTATTTTTGTTCACAGCTCTTATCCTGTCATTTAATCTGGCACGGTATAGTGAATTCAAGAAATAAAAAAGTAAATAAATAAAACTGTGCCAATAATTTAGTTGAAACGTGAAAAAATATACTTCAAAAAGTTGAGCCTCCATTATTACATTAAATTAAATATGAACAGTCTTTACAACATAGGGACTTTACCTGCTGAAGTTGGCTCTTCTTCATCTGATGCTGTAAGAAGAAAAGAGGTGAAATGGGGACAGGGAGAGAGTAAGAACAGAGGGAAAAAGGGAGGAAGAGAGAGGGAGAAAGAAAGAGAAAATAAAATTGAACATAAATATACTTCATATTTTCAATGATTACAAACACCTGACTTATAACTTTCTTTATAAAGTATAAATATGTCATTAGATAATGAAAGATTAATAGCTACTTATATTAAATTAAACATTACATACTCTTATACTTTAAAATACATGTTTATTAGAAAAGACCAGCTGTTTGAAATTGATTTTCCCATCCCTCTGCAAATAAGATTGACCTCAGTTAATTCAAATATTCTTATTATCTTCTTATTCTTATAAATAATGCTTTAAAGTTAAATTGCTTATAACATACAGATACCCCACCATCAATTTGTCATTAACAAAGAGGAATTAAAAACCATTGTCAATGGTCAACCATTTTGTTCTAAGAGAGAGAAGTTATTAGACAGGGTTATTAAACTTCAGAGTAACTCAGAATTACTTTGAGTATTTGCTAAACATGAACATCTTTAGTCTCTCTGACACACACACAAACACACAGATACATTCACACATTCATTCACATGTACACACACTTCAAGATTCAGTAGTGAGAATTCTGTGGTAAGGACACAGGAACCTGCATTTAAAAAGATGATTCCAGGAACCAGCAGATGGTGTAATGTTTACATCCGTGGACTCCCATGTAATCAACCACAGTTTAAGTGCCAGACCCTGTGGCTTAGAACTCACATCCGGTGCAAGTCCATGCACGCCCAAAATTCCAAGAGGGGAATGGAGGAGAAGGGATTCTGGTGTGGCCATCCTCCTAGGGATGCCTCTCCATCTCTCTCTGTCTCTCTGGCAAGCACATGTGCCCTTTAGCAAAAATCTCTTTAAGACAAAAAAGACAATCCCATGGGTTTTGACTTACATGTTCTGCAGTCTATGCATGGACAAACGTGGAAATTTAAAAAGAGGAGGCCACATTATAAAAACTCAAGCAGGGTTCAGAACCCAAGATATACATAAGAACGCCAGATTCTAGGTTCTACTTCAAACCAGTTAAACCAGAATCTCTTTAAATGGTAATAGCTAGTTGCCAAGATTGAGATATTACCGGGAAACAGCAACGTCAGATAACATTAACAGAGCCTCACTATAGTAGTGAATCATACTGATCACTACTTTAAAAGGTAGACATGTTTATGAGCATCAAGACTTCAAGGGCAATAACCTACTGGTGTTTGTATGTGGGGCTTGGAGCATGGTACTTACAAAAGTGAACAGAAGTTCATCTGAAACCACCTCACAAGTTTGCCTGGAACTCACCTATTTATCCTAAAACTCACAGACAGTTTGTGGGGAGTTATTTCTGCTCTGGTCTGTGAGGAAGTATTTCAGCTCTGTGCTCAAGTAAAGTTTACCCAGAATATTACCTTTAAATTATATGACACAAGCCAGTACTATATTACTTGATTCGTGAAGTTTTCAAATAAAAATGTACTCAGCTGAACTGCTCATAAAGAAGCTTTGTTCCCAGCTGCTCATTCATCAAGGTATCACTGTGTAGCCTGGGCGTGGTCTCCACTCTTTTCCGTTAAGGTTCCATCTGCGCTGAATACAAGCAGACAAGCTTACTTTGTGTCCTGACTGTTTTCCTCACACACTGTTTGGCTTGTCTCCTTGGCACGTAAAGAAATGGAGAGAGCAAACAGTTGGCATGCATGCCACGGTGAACATAAATATTTAAAAAGCTGTTTGCTGCTTTATCACGTCCCAAATATATCATAACATGTTTAAAGAGGAAAATTGCTGGTAGCTTCCGTGAATTCCCTTTTAGGAAAACACCATGGGTGCTTGCCGAAGTGTTCAGTTTCATGGGTCATGTTAATAACCTGGAGATTCAAAAGAGGGGGGGAACAAGCCCTTCTGCTTATGGTTGGTCACTTTATGTCTGTGAATTAATTTAATTCACGAAGCAACTGATTAGATGAAAATTGCTCTTTTTTAAATAGGGGCAGATAAACAGGTTCAGAGCGATCGAACAATTTGTCGAAGGTAAATTTGAATTTGAGCTCAGTTTGGTATAACTATAAAACTAAATATTTTCCACTATGGTGTACTGCCTAACAATGTGCTGATTCAGTGTCTACTTAGAAGAAAGGGAAAGCTAGATGACAGAGAGTTTATGGAAATTCCGTCACTACAACTTAAAAATATTGGGTCATGGGACAAGGACTGGCTATCTCCCTAATACATAAGGAGTCGGGATAAGATAGAGCAAGAAAAGATGATGTAAGGGCTAAGGAGAGAAATCCCTTCAAGACATGGAGTTCTTCAGAAACTTAATGCTTCTCACAATCATGGCGGACACAGACAGCAGATTCTGACTACGTGGTTAAATAAAATGCCTTAAGGAAGTGATTTCTAAGGAAGAGATACTGGAAGTGCTTAGACATTATTCCTTTATTATTTATGCATAAGAACGAAGTTTTAGAACAGGGCAAGCAAACACAGAAATAAAGACAAGCTCTCCCATAGATGAGTCATGTCAATTAGAATCTCTTAAAGCCAAAGCCTATAGAGCAAGCAGTGCACTGACCTATGCTGGATATAGCAATACCTGAAAGCATTTTTAAAACAAATGAACAGTATAGAGTCAGTAGATACACAACTTTGCCTAGAGTTTTATATTTTTTTTACTTTTTTTTTTTTTTTTTTACTTTTTTTGAGAGATTTTTGCTGTAGGGCATGCATGCTCACCACAAGACTGAGAGACAGAAAGCAAGAAATCACCACTCCAAAAGGGATGGCCACAGCATAATCACTTCTCCTCCATTCTCCTCTTAGGATATTGGGCACATATGCAAATACACCTGGCATGAGTTTGAAGCCTCCAGGTCCAGGACTCAAACCATGGTTGACTATGTGGGAATCCAGCGACATAACCATTATGCCATGTGCTGGTGCCTAGAGTTCTATTTCTATGCAACATCTACTGAGCAATGCTTCCTAGGGAACAGATATCACTAATCGATAGACATACTATTAAAACACATGCACACTCACAAAGGCATGCGCAAGGGCTAGTAATAGTATTGATTCACTGTTTTAGTTATATCTGTGGCAAAGACAGCTTTGTAGGCTAACTACATTCCTGAATCAATCATCATGACCTATTACCTGGTGGCAACTAGAAATACAGAGTAAAAATAAACGTCGAAGTGGGCATTAGTGACCTCTTTAATGACGGTTTAATGAAATGAGTATACCAAAAGATACTTTCATTTTACTCAAATAATTCTTTACTCTTTCTGTTTGCTTCTTAGAAGTCAGGGGGAAAAAAATTGAGTCTGTACTACATGCAGGCTTTTGTAATTCTGTAAAGTAAAACACACTAAGTAAATCAAAAATAAACAATCTAACTAACAATTCAGTATTGCTCCAGCTGGTCAGCATTTAGAATGCACTGTACTTATGGTGATGGTAGGAGAACAGGGAGTAAAGAAATATTATCTGATACACAGAGTTTAACAAAGGGTAGTCCTCCCATCAACCATAACAGAATCGTCCTGAGTGTTTGTTAAAATGCCGCAGATCTACCGTATTTGAATTTTGAGTGTTAGCCCAGTCTTCTGCATTTTAGAAAGCTTTACCGGTGATTACCTGAACACTAAACTTTGAGAATTATGACTTAGCTCATCCAAGTTTGCTTCAGCGAGACAGTCATGGGACCAGTGTTTAGAGCTACAGCAGTACTTAGCACTCTGATCTGAAACCCTTTGCAGCGTACACTGTGGCTGTCTCACCAGCTCTCAGTGCTCTCTCTTGTGAGATCTTGGAAATCCACATCCATGTGTTGGGGGAGTCTGGCTTCCCTTTGGATTTAAGCAGAGGTCTGTGTCTCAGAACTAACTGAATTTGTTTCCATTTCTGGGCCACAGTTACTCATCTAGGTTGAAGTGTATGACTCACTTGGGGACAATGCTATGGATGGAGAGACTTGTGTGTGTTTAGGTGAGGAGAGGTTCCTGGAAAGAAAGTTCCCTCTGTCTTCTGAGAAATTCCCTGGAAATAACCCTCTCATTCTCCTTTGGATGTATACAGGGAAGTCCATGAACTCAGAAGGAAGTGGTAAACTCCTTAAAAACATGATGAAAGCCAGCTTTAGAAGAAAGCTGAACCTGTTTGAAGGTAGAGCCCAGAAACACAAGAAATCAGAACTTTGATGATATCGTTGAGACATGATATTGTTGAGCCACCGAATCATATCAAGGGTGAGTTTGACCTACCTCTGGACTTGCACTTTGGAGGAAACATACATTCACTTTATTATGTTTGTTTAGTTTATTTGTTGCTAAATGACATTCTGCTATAATTCTAATATGTTTTTGCTGTTTCATTTAAAAATGTATTAGAAGGGACCAGCAGATGGCATAATGATTATGTCGCTGGACTCCCACATAGTTGACTATGATTTGAGTCCTGAGACCTGGTGGCCTAAAACGCACACCGGGCATGTGTGAGTGCGTGCCCAAAATCCCAAGAGGAGAATGGAGGAGAAGGGATTGCAGCGTGGCCATCCCCTCTGGGAGATGATTTCTCATTTTCTATTTCTCTCTGGCAAGAGCATGTACCCTATAGCAAATCTCTCTTTCTCAAATGAATACACACACACACACACATGTAAAGGAATGCATAAGGAATTATTCAAGTTGAGACTAGGAGTACAGGCTTTGCTTTCAGAGGACACCTGGGATGTCAATGCTGCTCTTCCCCACTGAGTTCACTACTACGCTTTGTTAGAATAAACCCATTCCTTCAATTTTGAAGTTGGCCACTGTTTTTAGGGCAGGCTGGCATATATGTTCATAAAATGGAGTAGCCCTTGGGAGAAGAAGACAGCAGCAGATTTTCCTTCCTGCATTTCTCCCTCACTCTTTTTCTCCTTTCCCACAGGGGTCAACTACACAGTAGATGATA